AATTTGTAACCCAATATTGAAAGTAGCTAAACTCTGAACACACAGTGATGAAACGTAATTATTACATGCTGACTCTTAAGGGTTGTTTTTTCACATACTTTGTTATACCACTGAGAATCCTCTGTCCATGCAAGTCAGAGGTAAGCCCTTCAGAAGAGGAACTGAGCATGATTCAGCATATTTAAAAAGGATTTATACCCATTCTTAGAAGGACAACCAGAGGAAACACCATCTGAGGTCTAAACAATGATATCTGCTTGCCCTTTGATCCGAGTTTAAGAACACTTTGTACAACTTTTTTGTTGAAATACCACTGAATTCCACATTTACTATTTTAAATCTCTTTAGGAAAAAATCTACAGCTTCTTTGAAACACACTCTCCAAACTATTTTTGCCGTGAGTAGCTTGCAGGCATGGATTTATTTGCTGATAACAAAAATCTTCCTTCTTAAGTACAGGCAGCTTAAATGAAAAATAGTACCACTGATCCTGTGTTTATGAGAAAAAGACAGTATGGTATATCTGGTTACACATACAAGTAAGGAATATTCCCATTTTTCTTCTAATTTATGTTTCCCAAGAGTAATTTTGTCAGAAGATTGCCAGTATTTTTAGTACAAGTTTCTTATTACTTGTACTAATACATACTGATTCACTTTTCTGAGCATAATTTGAGTTTTTATTTCATTTTACCCTAGTATCTGGAGATCAACACCTCATTAATTCAAAATAAATAAATGAAGTCTGAAATGGAGAGATTTAAAGAAACCTTTGCACTGGTCTCAAGTGTAATGCCTATTACAAATTAATATACATATGGGTAACTAATACAAAAGAAGTTTATTAATTAAGCATTATGATAGACATCAAATACCATGAAACCTCAATATCCTAAATGTCTTCACTTATTTACTTATAGGTATACCATCTCTAAATGATCACCAGATTAGTGAATTATAAATTATAAGTGAGAGATTTGCCTATGCTTTCATTAATTCAATTTTTATAAGCACCTCTTATGTGCTCGACATTATGTTGGGAACTTATGTTACAGCAGTAGATAAGCCTGGTTGCCTTTTGAGGCTGATATCCTAGAGGGGGGACAAATAAATGAGTAAGCAAATTTAAAAAGAAAAAATAATACTCCTTGTGATAAGTGCAACCAAGGAAATAAACAGGGAGCTCTGATGGTAGAGAAGTGGAAAGGGCAGCGGGGCAGCACTAATTTCTGTAGAGTGGTTAGAGAAAAGTTCTCTCAGAAGGTGAATTTTAAGCTAAGACCTGAAGGATATTTCGGGATACTTCTCCAAGGTCACCAAGTTGGCAGCCTTGTTTTTGAGGCTGCCAAGACATTTTTAGCATTAGAAAACAAGTAGAAAATGGCATCTGTGGCCCTGATTGAATGCAGATTCCTGAGTACCCCAGCTTCCCTGGGCACACTGCACACCATCCAGTTAGCACTTAGGAGGCCACACACCCCCAGCCTTTTCACCTGGAGGGAGTTTAAAACAGTCAGAATAAACAGCAGTGACCAGCATTGGGAATATGCAAGAGAAATTAATGCTGTTGATTCATACTTTCTGAGAGTCACTCCAGGTGAGAAGGGTCAGGGGTTTTTTAAGTATTTCTTCTTTTTTAAGATTTTATTTATTTTTAGAGAGAGGAGAAGGGAGGGAGACAGAGAGGGAGAGAAACATTCATGCGTGAGAGAAACATGGATCGGTTGCTGGGACCTAGCCTGCAACCCAGGCCCGTGCCTTGACTGGGAATCAAACCGGCAACTTTTTGGTTTGCAGGCCGGCACTCAATCCACCAAGCCACAACGGCCAGGGCTAAACATATTTCATGAGTAAATTATTGCTCAGCCCCAAGGAAAAATGATGTTTACCACTATGTTTCCCTTATACTTACAGTTTACAATTTATCTAACTCAATGAGTGTAAGAGTACTTTAAAACACAAAACTGTAACATGGATCTTTCTGTAGGTTAATAGAAAAGTCATGCAATGTAGCAGTAACATGCCATTGACACGTTAGGAAATCTGTGGGATTCTCCCAACATCCTTATTTAAAGGATCCACATTGCTAAGCAGTTACTTTCTTCAAATGAACTATCCTTCTACTCAGACGTTTTAGCCTCTCATTATGAATCCCCTTTTCCTATTACTAATTGGATTAAGATTAAATAGAATTGCTTGACTTTATGGTGGCATGGCTTTATGACTTGAATCCACTTATCTGGAAAAGGTTTTCTCCTCTAACTACCCAGGTGGAGTCCAGGTCTGAACCTACAGCTTAGTGCTTATAACTTGTAGTCAGAAAGCCCCGTGGCTTGATACAAGGGGCTTGCGGCTGAGTTCCCCACTCATGAATTCCTTTCAGTTCCACGTCAGCCTGGGAGGGAGGGAAGGACTAAAATTAACACTACTATTGTTGAATTCTCTTGGAATTTTTAATTTTTCAGTGGTATTTTTTTGTATCTTTAACAATCCTTTAAGAAAAATGAAAGTATCCCTAGGGAGATACTCTGTTAAACCATTACTTTAGCAGAATTAGTTGGCAACCAACTTCAAGCAGTGTGACTCAGAAGCAATGTGTACCTGTAGACCAGGAAAGGTCAGAAAAGCAAGGGAGGGGGAGAATTTGGAGGTTATTAAACACTGTAAATGTCACAGTACTTTACAAACTTGCCTCAGGCCAACTCTCACAATTTCAAAGAACATCTAAGGCAGTGGTTCCCAAACATTGGGATCACCTGGGGATCTTTAAAAATACTGATACCTGGGTTCCACAACACACATTCAGTTTAATTGACATGGGTACCACCTGGGCATCTGGATTTTTTTTTTTTTTAAGCCCCCAGCTGATTCTATTGTGTAGCACCATTTGGGAGCCATTAACATAAGGGAAACACTGCTCTTAATCACTTACTGGGATGATTTATTGATTTCCTTCAGACATCAGAATCTCCTATGCCAGTGCCTGCTGATCATGGATGCACATTAGAAAAGCCTGAGGCCCTAAGAAAGAAAGAAAAGAGGGGGGAGGGGAGGGGGAGGGGGGGGGGGGGGGGAGGGGAGGGGGAGGGAGGGGGAGGAGAGGAGGGTGGGAGAGAGACCACCCTCAAAGATTCTGACTTAATTGCTGTAAGGGGAAGCCCCAGCATCCCTTAGTTCTGTTAAGTGTCCTCAGGTATGTTAATTGGCAGCGGAGGTTGACAATAACCATCCAAGCCCAGGAACGGTTTTCCCGGAGACTACAGCATGATTCTCTGCTTCCACTTTGTCCAGGTTGGGACTACCCACAAGAGGCAATAATACATTTCCCCAAACAATCAGAGAAATTTGGGGAAGGGAGTGAGGGAGCGGGAAAGAGGTGGAATTTACTAAGCCAGAAGAATCAGAGACGTTAAAATAAGGAACAGTGTTTGTCCTCTGTAACCCCCTCCCCAAATTTTATTGACTGGCAGAATTTCCTTAGAATGCTTCCTGGAAGTAGCTCAACCTTGGATTCAGTTCCAATAAATTGTGAAAATTCTTGTCCAATCAGAACCCCTGGCACTGCAAGTAGCAGGATTGGCAGGCCTTGAGCCTGTGAGATTCTGATTCATGAATTTCCCAGGAGGATTTCTGCACCACTTGGATGCACATCCCCATCCCCCTTTGCCCCCACTCCTTCTTTCTTCCCCCAAATTCAGCGGAGTTAAGAATCATCCTATAGCTATAGCTGTAAAGAACTCGCCAGAATATTTTACATGGTAGTCATTCAAGTAAATAATGTCCTTAAATGACAGACAGAGGTCTTTGACGTAGCTTGGCCAAGTGCTTGCTTCTTTGGCAAGTGTCTGCTAACCCACTTTGGGGCCTGGGCAGATCCACGCGTCCCACAGGAAAGGAAGCGCGCGGAGACGCACGTTACAGTGCCGCTGCACCCACTCCGGGCATGGCTACTGCGTCCTGATGTCTCCCCGTGGAGAACGCGTCTCCGCCATCCCTCTGTGTACGCTAAACTGAGTCACCTTATGAACGAAGAGCACAAATCGGCGGCATTGACTGGGGTGGGGGAGAGGCAGGAAGACTTCCTTACCCTCTTCTCAGTTACAGATTAGAAAACTTGGGAGTGGGGGGGTGGGGGGAGGCTATGTAACTTCGCCGGGGTTTGCCACAGAACATTTGTGGCGGAGCCCGATTTAGCCGCCCTTGAATTTCCATTCTGTTGCCTGGCAACGGGTTCAGACCAGCTCAGCGCCCAACCCCGGCCCCTAACCCGCACCCTTTCTCTGCCCGTAAAGCTTGGGCAGTGCTGATCATAAGTTCAGCCTTTTGGGGCATTGGCCAAAGGCATGTGAGAAACGTTGCTGGATTGGTTAACCGGGAGTTGGGCTCGAGATCCAGCCCCAAACCAGCGCCAGCCCCGCCGGCCCGGAACTGGCGCGCCTTCCCCGGTCCTTTTAGGCACCTTTCCTTCCCCAGTTCCGTGGATGCCACTTAACATCATCACATAAAGTTTCCAAAGTTCTCAGCTGCTTTCGGACTCCGGAAAAATCCCGGTGGGAAAACAGGCACTCAGCGCGTTAAGGGTGCAAAAGGAAACAGGAGGGGAAAGTGTGGAAGGGCCTTCTCCTTCCCAGATGGCTACACTCGGGCCAGACTTTACGCCACAGTGTAGTGAAGGTGGCCCAAGCCGGACACTCTTGAGGAAAGCGCTGAACGTGCTCCGGGATCCTGCAGAGACGCACCTGCAGAGCGTCGCACCTCCGCCAGTGCGCCGCCTCCTGTGGCTCCCCAAGTGCCGCCAGGCCCGGGGCTCTGGGGGCTGCACGTGCTGCCCACGGCCGCTCAGGTGGCAGGAGCGCAGCCCCCCAATCCTTCCGCCCCTGTCTCGCCATCCCCAACTCGAGCGCCAAGGGCTCTTCCACCCTCTCACCCTGCACAGCCCCCAAACCCGGGACAGTGGAAAGGGGGGATTGTTCTCATTGTACGCTACCCCAGATCCTTACCCAGGTTCACAAAGCTCATGACCATGTCCGCGTCGTTGAGGAAGGCGCTATCCTGCGCGCTGGTCAGCTGGGACGTGCCGCCGCCGCCAGGTCCCGGGGCAAGGAGGCTCTTGCGGTTGTGGGGTTGCGCCGCTCCAGGAGGCTGCTGCCGGGGCTGGGAAGCGCTGGCCCCTTTCCGGGGCCCGGGCTGCCGCCTCTCCTCGTCCGACGGCCAGCCCTCGTCGTCGTCGTTGGACAGGGTGTTGTACAGGTCCAGCATGAAGAGCGGCGCGGACTTCAGCCGCCCGGGAGGGGGCTCCCCGCGAGGCTGCTGCTGAGGGAGCGCAGGGGGCTGCGGCGGCTGGAGGCCATGGAAGGGCCGGGGCCGGTGAGGGAGCCCCAGCACCGAGAGGATCTCCTTCTGCATCTCCCGCTTCTCGTGCGTCTTGAGCCGGCGGTAGAGGAAGCCCGAGGAGGAGGACGGCGGCGGCTGCTCCGCGTGGCCCAGGCTCCCGCCATCCCCCAGCAGCGCCCCACGGCCGGCGGCGGCGGCGGCGGGCAGGGGCGGCCGCAGCGGCGGGGGCCCGCAGCAACTGCACAGCAGCCCCCACCACCAGCACAGCCACTGAGCCCTCCGCCCCAGCCCCGGCATCCCCGCCCTGCCGGGCTGACCCCGCGGGCCCCGCGAGGCGTGGAGCCTCGGAGCGAGGCCGGAGCGCTGCCGCTGTGGCCCTTGGTGTGAACAGCCCCCGCCACCTCTCGGCGGGCTCGCTTCCCCTTCCTGGCCCTCAGTCCTTATCTCTCATGGTCCACTGGGGCGCCCCCAATTGTCCAGGATGCGGAGTCAGGCAGCGAAGGGGGCGATCACCGGGAGAACCACACTCCCGCGCAGGTCCCTAGAATCGCAAGGTACAGGCCAGGTGTGTCCGGGTCCGGGCTGAGCTGTAGCCGGCGCCCTCGTCCCTGGGCAGGTCACGGAGCTGTCGCTCTCGGGCCTCGCTGCCCGTGCACGTGTGCTAACCCGCGCCCTCCCGGGAGGCTGAGTGGGACCCGGGGCGGCGGGGGAGTGGGACCGCTCACCAGCTGGGGGTGATGCCAGGCAGCATCCCCGCGCACGTATTTCCTTGGCTCGCACAGCCGCTGTGAAGTTTACCCCGCCGTAGGGCCCAGGCTGTGGAGACTAGGAGTCCGGAGATGCCAGTCTTCTGCGTGAGGCTTAACTCCCTTCTTGCTCACAAACTCCTCGCCCCTCCGCCCTCCGGTACTGTCGCTCCCCCTCAGAATCTCCGCACGCTGTTCTACTCCCCAAGCAGAGGCGGCAAGGATTTTCCTTTCCGTTCAGTGCTCTCCCGGCTGCCCTTTACACCCGGCTCACAGAAACGATGAGAGGGAAGGGGGCCGGTGTGCGGAGCTGTGGCCGCGGCGTCGGCGCCGGAATTCGCAGTCTCCCGCCTCACAACGCTGCGTTCCCCGCAGCAGCCAACGTGGGCTTTCTGGTGCGCTTGTCGCTCAGGTACCACACTCCAGCCCACGGGATTCCCCGCCCTCCCGGGTAACGGACAGGAGGGCAGCCAATGGAGAGGCCCATCTCTCCTGTATTTAAATGGTCCCGCCCCTTCTTTCACCCTCCCTCTCCGGAGAAGCGTAGCCTGGGCGGCGCGTAGGTTTCAAGTGCACATAAAATTTTTGGAGGCACCTAAGGAACCGCAAGGTAGCAAAGGCAAAGAAGTCATCGCTAGTGAAAATGACCTGATCAGAACCTCAATGTGAACCTTTCTCTTTTCGATCACACTAATTGATGCTTTAACTAAATAAAAGCACAATCAGCTGTTAAATCAATGCTGCCTGGATTGAGGAAGAACCAAAAAGTGATAGTTTTCCCACTCCTTTCTTAGTTTCTCTTATTGGTGTACTACAGGCTTTTAGCGGACACGTGGCTTTCAAAGGCAGCTGCTGCAAGTTGGGACACGCCCTCCGAGAAGCTGCTCACAAACTGGCCCACGGAGATGGCCAAATGTAAGCCAGACCCAGTGTCCAGAGGGTTCGGGCCTGTGCCAAATATTTTGACTTATCTCTTCATTTGGTCTTTGACTTGGTTTCTTAAGCTAGCACCCAAAAGGAGGGTGTAGTCATATATATATATATATATATATATATATATATATATATATATATATGTACATATATATATATTAAAAAAGCCACCCCCTACCTTTTTGAATGGTTTCAATGCTTCTCCAGTTTGTCTATTAACATTGCATTTTAATGTATTGAAATACAGTAGATGCTGGATACATTATGCAAGATAAATAAAACTTGAGGCGAGGTGGCAAAGCTAATTCCTGTAAGGGTAGGAACTTGGCATGTTCCCATTTGGGACAGGAGACAGGGCCCTGAAACTCAGATTGCTGTGAGCAACAGAAAAGAGCAAGTTTGTAAAACACATATTTCACTTTCATGACAGTCACACTTCTCAACCAAAGACACTGCCCACACTACCAAACACCACCACCACCATCTGCCTTTCAGGGTGCAAATTTATTTGCCTTATACTAGCCAAGAATGTTCAGTAATTTATGGATCCTGGACAAATTCACTTAAAACATTAGGATCTTTTATCTGGTGGAAACTGTTTGGATTAGAAAACAAAAATCTGGCAGCCTTAGTTCAATAGTCCATGGCACTTGAGAGCCAGAATAAGGGATTCATGGACTTTATGAGATAATGGGGTTTCTGCTGATCCAAAACTTACTAGCGTTTTTACCTTATTTCAAAGAACTTGTTTTTACATGGGTAAGGGTCTTCACCTCCCCCTATCCCATCATGCTTCAGATTGCCCTTTCACCTTCTGTCTTGGCCCAGCCACAGTGATCATTTAGGACACTCTTTAATTCTACAGATGTCCCATTGCCATTGAGCTCAGGCAAGGCAATTTCAGCAACACTGGAAGCCAGTCTTTAACCATCTGCACGGATTCTTTTCATGTGAAAAGAAAATACATCACTACTTGGTCTGGGATGCCAGGACCCTTAGAATTCAAGAACCTATAGCACATCTTTCTCTGTATGGGACTTGTTACGAGCATAAAATCATTGCAGTGCATAAAATCACAGCAGCCAAGATTTCTGATCAGGAGATCTGAAATCTCAGTGCATATACATAGGTTTCCTGCCAAGGTTCTCTTTCCTCAAACTTAGTCATACCTTCTTTTGAAGAATTCTAGTGATACACAAGCAGAATAAAAACAGTTCCAGCTTACAAGGGCAGTGGGGAAGCACTAGAAAAATGGTAAAAACCCTGGAGATAAACAAATGCATCTAGATAGGGCCATGCCATTTAAAACACAGAAGCAGACTGTGACTCATCTTTATGCACCTTTTGTAATAACATATATGGTCTAGTGAAGAAACACACACAGTCTTCCCATTTACTCAGATACTTGGTAAGAGGTAGATGGACCTTATGACATAGATCTAAAATGGCATTTAGCAATTTATTACCAATTAAAAACATCTGAGCAACAGGTCTCATTCAGGTCTGTCATGGGCTCCCCATCCCCACTAAGATGGTCTCTCCATTCTTGTACAGTTCTAGAAAAGGGGGCACTGGTGACAAACAGAAGAGCACACAACTCTGTGAAGAGCCAGAAAGAAAAACATGTGAGGTGAGGTATGAAGATGATCCTAAGGACAGTGACATTCAACCAAGGGCCATAAAAGAGGGTGTTCTCTTCTCTTGTCCCTACCACTCCAAGTATGTGCTCATGATTGTCAGAAAAACACTCAGAAAGGCCCTTGGTTCCATTATTGACAAAGGAGATGAAGAGATGTGGTTCTAAAATTTCAATAACTTCAAAATTTGGGGCCACTGCTTTTTCAAACCAACTAGAACTCCTGGTGTGTAAGGAACCCCTAACCCCCACTTCACCTACTACCTGTTTCTGTGAGCCATCCCCATCACACATCCTGGCACTCCCATGAAGTCTCAGGACAGGGAGCTGGACAAAGGACAGATGTGATTCAGGCCAGGTGGCCTGAAGGAAGAGGAACAGGACTGGCTTTGAAGTTTGCTGGAATGTATGAACCGACTGGAGAAAAATCAGAGGTAACTTCGCCCCCTGCAGGACACCAAAATATTGCTGCCCCTTCCTCTGCACTGGACAAGCTTCATTAAGATCTCTGTAACTGTCACCAAAACATCTGGGTGGAAAGAGGAGAAATTCAGTTAAGAAGCCGGATGTGGGAGCCAATCCATATCAAACATCTGGTTGCTTGGCTGACATTTCATGGAAACAGATGGCTGTCAGTTTTCTGGAAATAGGTTGCCTGCCTCACTACCGCCCCCTTAATGAAGGAGTGAAGAACCGTCACCAAAAAGCACAGGTTCATCCCATGCCTTTGGTGATACTGAGGCTGGGGTAAGACTCCTATACCCAAGCATTCATTAGTACACAGGGTAATTCACACAACAAATTCCTTAAAGCAGCAGTTATCCTTGTTCCTTTTTATATTATGAGGGTTTCTATTATACATTTACAGCACACATAACCAAATAATTTGTTTTTAAAAGATACTGTTTTTTAATCTGATGTTAAATATTCTATACTTTTCCTTTGAATTAAATTATTAGCAATAAACTGCAATTGCAGTCTTTGATTTTACACTAAAACAAACCTTGGCCCCTTTCAGCTAACTTTCCTGAAGATGTAAGTAGCTGCTTTTAGAATTAATTTAACATATAAGAGTTATAGCTATGCTGCTGTTGTGTCTAAAAGGCTGAGGTCTAGTCACCTTGAATCCTTGGGAAAAATTCCACTTAAAAGGACTACACTTTTATCTTTAATATTAATATAAGGAGTTGGGTATTTCTTAATATTAATTTCTAAATATAATAATTTACTTAAATCTTTAAAATACCAATTTGGAGTCAAGTAAAAAGGGAATATGTTAAGTAAATATTTGTAGAGTATGAGAAATGAAAATTGGAGAGTTAAATAAATATTGCTTCTGAAAGCTACACCTGTAAGGCGGCCTTCAAAATATGTGTCTCATCCAAAAGCCTGTGGTAACATTTACATTCACTCACACTTTCCTTTCACTGTCAAATATTCAAAAATGCTGGGTATTCACACTTCAAAATATCATTCGAACCATCATATTTTCCTACTCATGAAGGACATCTGGTGGCAAAGTGAAAAACTAATACATAAACCTGTTTCCAGAGCTTTTTTTCCACACTATAACCAAAATAGCAATTCTGTGTGTGCTTCAAACTTTTCACACAAGCTCAGATCTTTATCATCCTAGGATTTAGGCTGTCTGCATACTATTAAAAGGAGTCTGTAAAAACATCCAGGTGCTTACATTTTTTAAATTTCAATCAGATAATTGACATGTGCAGACTGTCATAATTTTTTTTTTTTTACTGGTCAAAACAATGCTTAATACATTTCCATGACTAGCTCTAGTATTCTTGAAGAGTTTTATTCCAATAAGTCATAGCTACCCTGCATAGTGCCTGAAGTTTCATAGCTTGTGCTGGCCTCTGAACATCACTCCATTCTGTGGCCCTCTGTGTACCCCATGTCCTGGATGTGTCTCTTGTGTGTCCACTAGGAGGTTCCATGAAAATATGACACTATCATACTGCCAATCCTTAACTAGCAGAACTATGACCAGCAGTCGGGGTAGGGAGGCAGGGAAAACCACACTGGCTGGATAAACTCA